ATTTACTGGCTAATTATAACAAGTTGTGGAAGGTGTCCAAGGATGCCAAAATTGATCCTACGATCCATGCAGATACATGTTGTAACTTTTAATCGATTGGAGGGGAAATGATTTTGACCTCCTGTGCTAGTGTCATTCTGAACTCGTTGGACAATTTCTTGAAACATTGTGGATCTACTTGATGCGACAATGTTGGCGTACAGCTACTTGAAGATGTCCTCATCGCACTTCATGTCGGTTTGTAGGATATGAGCAAGGAGGACTGAGGCTGTCTGTGGACTTTCTAAAAGGCAAATGTCTTGGTATGGGCGCGGCCGATTGGACTATCACCTTCTTAACTTTATTGAATTGAGTTTCTCGGTTTCGCCAAGAGATGATTTTAATCCGTTATGCCAAACTGGCAGTGGGACTCCACCTCTGTAGGAATCATTTTGTTTATAGTTTTCGTTTGCGCGAAATTTTTTCCAGGCATTTTGGCTTGCATGACCCCTCATTTTTTTTCTGTCCCCACATCACTGTTCTGATAGTCCGTCCCTTTCAATATCGCCTGATACACATGGATTTCTTTAATGAATCGAAAAACCAAATATATCTTTACCTAATAGTGCTGATCCTGTACTATGCAGAAAAAACCGCAGCTTTTATTTTAATGACTCTTAGGCACCAAATTTAATATTTAAAGAAAAACCTGTAGAAAAGGTAGACTTTGTCATTAACGTTTCTAAACTAATCCTTATTTTCTGTGGTTTAATTGTTTGCCTCGATTCGCTTCTTGTTTTCTATGAAATAAGGTCCAACAATGGACTTCTTACTTTTTGAAATACCATCTATCAATTCAAAACAGACACTGGGTCATCGCTCCTTGGCAGCTGCAGGCAGCCGTATGGAGCAAATAGCCGAACAATATAGTAACGAAACTAATTTTTCAGCTGTAATTTTAGTAAATTTAAATCTTCGCTTAAGATTTATTTTATTCAATTTAACTTATAATTAGGATCTTAAATACATACTTTACTTTTAATGTTATTAATGTATACATATACTATTTCAACCTTGTTTACGTGTTAGTGTAATTAAATGTATATTTCATTTACAACTGTCCATTTTCTAAGTTAATTATTTTTATCGCGCATTTGATTATATTCATAGAGATATTTGGGCGCTATTAATTTTTAAATTATTATTATATTAAATTAGAAGCTACGTATGTAACTTCGAAAGGGCTCTTTATGTAGCAAGGTGAATGGAAGATTAGTACCGATTTTATCCAAAATCGTAAGCAAATCAGTACTGATTTGTGAATAAACTTCCTTTGCAATCACCAGATGATCAGTATTGTATTGCAACATTTCAGTCGCGACTACACACATTTGCGCTCAACGATAGCGGGACCAGCTTCTTCATATTCTTCCTTTGTAATCCACAGGGACTGGAAGGTGTCCCTCTCCGTCTCATGGCTACAAGGTCGCCAGGGGGGAGGGGGTACTTTAGGAATTTCTGGGGGGATGTGCCGCTGGGACCCTGGAGCCCCTTAACCTATACCAGAGCTAGTTCAGCTGAATTTTGCTACCCTATGCTAGAGTAAACTCCCAAAATCCCCCTTATCCTAGAGTAGCTATTTTCCAGAAACTACTGAAGTCAATAGCAGACATATTAAATTCTGCAAGCAGAATACTGCAATAATGAAGTCAATAGCACAGTCTAGCCAAAACAAAACCTTATACCAGTCTAGATAAAATCTGCAACCAACTGACCTGATACCCTATTCTAGACCCAAACGCTCTGATTTATATACCCTATCCTAGAGTAAACTGCTTGAAAACCCTACCCTTTACAGCGGCACATACCTATATAGCCCATATAGGGCAGTACCCCCCTCCCCCCACGGGACAAGATCTCGACCTATTAATCCAGAAAACGCACACTGCGCAAATAAGTTAAAGCATCTTAACGACTTCCACCTGCGTACTGGAAAGACTTGCACAGTCGCTTGTATTACCAAGGCTGGACCATTGTGACATGTGACACGAAACTTGCTGAAAGCTTTCAAAAAGATCATGAATTTGCTGTCCCAAGAGTTGTTCCGGGAAGTTGACGAGAGAAGAGATTGTAAATTGCGTAAGTTGACTTTAGAAAGCTCTTAAAAATTATACAGTGGCTTTCTTATTCAAACTTAGAAAGAATCTCCAAGACATCAAAAAAAATTCAATCAATGACTTAAAGCTCATACAAATGAAGAGGGCTATTCCCATACTATAAGCTCAACCTCATCCTATGTAACGCTTTAGCCTCGTTATTCCTAGGGTCTCTCTGATAATTCACTATCAGCCGGCCTTTGTATGTTGCATTTCGATAAGATTTTAGAGGACAGAGATCACCGTCTCCGTCATTTACTGACTGCCTCGCATAGTTAACAATATACTCTTAGGCATGCCGGCCAGGATTTTTGAAGTCCAGTTTAAAGCCTTCAGGGCTATGAATCCTCAATGCCTCCAGGTAAACTCTTTTTAAGGGTTTAAAAGATAGCTATCAGTTTTGATTTTGTTTTTGTTTTTGTTTTTTTAATTTTTTCATATATTCTAACAACTTCCTAGCCCAACATATAAATGTATATATGTAATTATATTTTTAAACGCTTTTTGTAATTCAGCCTCTGACTGCGATGTATACAATGTTATCAGTAACGTTCTAATTCAAATTAGCGCCTCAATTATCTTGTTATAAAATATTATCATATATTTTTAGGTGAATAAATCTCAGATTTTCAAGTATTGTCATGAAAATCGTTATATTACATTGAAGCCGGCGATAGCACAATAATAACAGTCTCCAAAAAACCATTGAAATATTAAGGGTTCCTTTGAACAATATTTGGAAAAAAAATTGACCACAGAACAGTCCGTATTTTTGCGTATTCAAGTACGCGCGACAGTCAAACAGGCATGTGAGGCTCGCACGCTCTCCGCCTGTGACTCTCACGCTACGCTTAAACGCTAGTAAGAAAATTGAAAGATAATGAAACTAGTTGCAAGCAAATGTAGAGGATACTGGTGGCCATATGTACTGAAGTTTCCATAGGATGAAAGCACAAGTCTTTGCGTACTATGGTATATATAAAACATTGGAAAAAAATTTCACATTTTGAGATTTTTAGGAGACCTGATCCGTCGAAGGCCAAACAGTTTCCTATTTCTATGTTTCGATCACATGTGTGTTTTTGTCCCCCCCAACCGTCTTTACCAAGAGTGGGAGGATTTAATTCCGTTTTGTAAAAACTATCACTTGCAACCATTGGCTGCTGACTGTACAGTATTAGGTGGGAAGCTTGCGTTCTGACTACATTCATTACTTTTTGGGTGGACTACATTCATTACTTTTCGGGTGGGCGGGGAAGCGATGACCCGATATACGTACGCATTTGCAGGCTAGCAGGGAGTGGAAGGTGTCCAAGGATGTACAGAGGTCTGACGGCTATGCCATGCTAATGAGCCCCAATAAGGGCAAAACAGCTGTCCATGGCTGCCGCTGTCCGTATGATTTGGCTGTGCGCATGCGTGAGCTACGATCAGCATTGCAGTATTCTGCTTGCAGAATTTAATATGTCTACTTTTCAGTTTTGCTGATCAGGTCTTTATATATCCTACGTTCTCCGACATATTCGTTTGCGGTCCTTTGCAGTCCTTTGTGGTTAATGTTTGTACATTTTCTATTCTGGGGCCGTAGATCTTTTATAGATCCGATATGCCTTAATTTTTGCATGGTTTTGTCCATGTGTTATAGGTTGGTTTTGGCCAACTCTTTATTTTCTCTGCGAGACATCAAAACACGACACTTGGACTCTTGCCCCCAGAAGACACGTGGTATGGCGTGATTCTGTAGGTGTTGAGAGTTCTGGGTCAGAGCTTAAATCAGAGGGCGCGGATATTTTTCACCAGAGCTTTTTCTGGTTGTTACGCCATACTGACGAGCCCCAAAGAGGGCGAAACAGCTGTCTATGGCTACAATCCCGCTCTGTTTTGAATTCTTTCGGTGTCGTGTTGATGTCTGGCAGAGTTAATTTTTACATAGTACGATCAGCATTGCAGTATTCTGCTTGCAGAATTTAATATGTCTAGGTACTGGCCAGGCCGTGGGTTGGTTGATGTGTGTCCCTTGCTTTACGTGTGTCCTATCAAAATTGATCCTAAGATCCATGCAGGTAACTTGTAATCGATTGGAGGAGAAATGGTTTTAACCTCCTATGCCGGTGTCCTTTGAATTCATTAGGCAATTCCGGTCCTTGAAACATTGTGGATCCACTAGCTACGACAATGTTGGCTTACAGTTCATTGTAGATGTCCTCATCGCATTTCACGATCGGGTTATAGGATATGAGCAAAGGGGAAAGGCTGACTGTGGATTTCCTAAACGGCAAAAGTTTTGGTATGGGCGTGGCCGGTTGGATTATCACCTTCCTGAGTTCACTGAATTGAAGTTCTAGGTTTTGCCAAGGAATGATGTAAGACCGCTATGTAACTGGCAGTGGAGCCCCTCCTGTCCAAGAATCTCTTTTCTCATATAGTGTTGTTTGACCTTTTTTATTTGTACTCCCTCGCCGAATCACTCTTCTCATTAATGAATTTAAAAAACAAGTAATTATATCTTAATCTATTGAAATTACTTTCAAGACTGAACAGTCTGTAACAGTGTTCATCCTGTACTATGCAGAAAAAACCGCGGCTTTTATTTTCAACGCAATGTCTCTAAGGCACCACTGAAATTTTGTATGATTTTTTTACAGCTTTGTAACGTTTATAAACGAATCTTCTTTTTCACCGTTAATTGTTCGCCTCGATTTGCTTCGTCTTATTTTTGAAAGTAGCAGGGCTTGATATGCTACTTGAAAACGACTCGTTTAATAACAATACCGCAATCATAAGTAAATCAGTCATTGATTTGTGAATAAAAATCCTTTGCAATCACCAGATGATCAGGATAGAGTCGAAACATTTCATTTGCGACTAAACACATTTGCGCTCAACGATAGCGGGACCAGCTTCTTCATATTCTCCCTTTGTAATCCACAGGGACTGGAAGGTGTCCAAGGATGCCAAAATTGATCCTCCGATCCATGCAGATAACTTGCGGTCAATTGGAGGAGCAATGATTTTGACTTTCTCTGCCGGTGCCAGAGAAGTGATTTCCTTCTGAATTCGCTCGGTAATTCCTTGAAACATTGTGGATCCACCAGTTAGGACAATGTTGGCGCACAGCTCCTTACGGGTGTCCTCATCGCACTTCATGATTGAGTTGTACGTGGTCTCGTGGATACCTGCAGATTCCACTCCAAGAAAGGAAGGCTGGAACATGGCCTCGGGACATCGGAATCTCTCATTTCCGATGGTGATGACCCGACCATCAGGAAGTTCATACGTTTTCTGCAAGCTGGAATTGGATTCAGCGTTACTTATTTCTTGTTCGAAATCTAGAGCAACGTAGCACAGCTTCTCTTTGATGTCACGCACCAAATCGCCTTCAACAGAGGCGACGGAGTTATCTCGCTCAACCAGACACGTTTTGAGATAATCCGTAAGGCGCTCGCCAGCAATATCGAGACGACAGATGCTTTTAGTAATAGCAAAGCCATCGTAGATAGGAACAGCATGACTCCCACCATAACCACACTCTATGATTGTACCATTTTTACGGCCTGATGCGTACAGCGCCAGCACAGGTGCCACGGCTAAAAACATCGCGGGTGTATGGAAGGTTTCGAACATGATCTGACGAAAAAAATTTGAGCACAAGGTTTCTTATCTTGCCTTGTACATGTTGTATGGACCTTTCCCGCATCTCTGTGAACAAAAACACCAACTAGACGCTTAGAGTGACGAAATACAGTCATTTGGAGGAAATTCGCCCGTGCACCTGAGCCCTAGCCTGGGACCTGGGAGCAGGCTCTGTTGTGAGGGGAAAAGGCGACAAAAAAAATCGGCGAGCGAAGCAAACTAAGCGAGAGTCTGGGGAGAGGAAAGGGCGCCGCTCTTTCTCCCTCCCCAGTCCACCGCTTGATTTTCCTTTTTTTTGCTGTTTTACCCCGTTTTTCTCTTTTGCCTCCCCCCACCACTACTGGGCCTGGTCTCAGACTAACTCGAGCCTCGACCTCGTTTCAGTGAATGTGCTCACTGGAGCTGAACGCGGGAAAGGTCTATTCAACATTTACCTAAACTCTCAGTCAGTTTCACTGTCAGCCTAACATATCACAAACCTGGACTGTATTTGGTTATGAGTTTCTGTTAAAACGTTAGCAAGGTAGCCCTTTCAGATACCGAATCATTATACGTTTCTGGGAGTGTCCACCTACCCCTCCCCTAGGGCCAACATTAACACTTACTTCTCACTTAGGGCAAAATGTTAGCTTAGGGGAGGGGTAGGTGGGCAGTTTCCTAGAAACGTACAATGATCCCAGATACTTTGCACAGAAAGAAGAAGTCTACACGCTGTTCATACACCTAAGCATTTTTGTTATTAACTGAGCGAGTTTAATGTAGTCCCTCTTGAGTCACTTCTTGCGATACTCAGGTGGATACTTAGTATTCTATCGGCTGCGGGCGGGATTCATTCTTATCGTTTTTACAAATAGGATTTTACACTTTTTATAATGTTTAATGTATACATAGTTAGTATTTGTGCATTTTCCGTACGGGCACACTTAATTTGAAGCCTCGCTCTGTTGTGTGTCCCGCACCTTCGCCCCTCGTTTTTGTGTCTTGTTCAAATGTGTTTTTTCCCTAGTCTTTTTTAGCACTGTAATCATGATGAAAGCGATTAAATAATAAATAAATAAATAATAGTTCAAGATCCTGAGGATTTTTGCGATAACCTCTCCAACTGAAATGAAGCCTAGTAAATGACGATAAAAAAAAGGCACAGGCGACAAAAGCGAGAGGCAAAGTAGAGGGGATAGTGAAACTTTTTTATCCAAAAGTAATCCTTTCGGCCAAAGTCAGTAAAGGCTGCAACTTGGCATCACGATTAAACGCCAGGGATTAGAAAAGCTTGACTTTTGAACAATGCTTTGGGCAGTTTCAGTTAATAATTTTTCGTTATACAAACCACTAGAACAAAGGAACTTTAAGTTCCAAAAACCAACAAATTCTGAACGTATAAACGCGGATGACCGCCACTGAAAGGTCCGTTTATTGACTAGTCATGATCTTCGTAGGCGAGTAAAGGGAGCTGCATTTTCCGTGCCCCAGTTTCAAATACAGGCATGTCAGTTTTAATTAACAAGGACTGACTGACTCACTCACTCTTGTTCGTGAATAGCGTCAGGCATACAGGGTAGCAACAAAGGATCGCCACTCCTGTCTGTTCTGGGCCAGCTTCTGAATGGTTTCCCACGTGTGCTGTAGGGTCTTGAGCTCCCCTTCCACAGTAGTGTCTCATCTCTGCTGTCACTTGTGCCAGCTTTTCCGTTTCATACATAGTTCTCACGTTCCAGGACCCAATTCTGGTCTTAGTTTTGGCGCTCAAGACTTCCATCTTTCTGTCAATGGCTTCCTCCCGGCTTCCACCACTGTCATTCATACGAGTATCTTCCGATGACTCTAGAAGACCATCAAACTCAGTAGCGTCGATTTCCTCTCTTGCTGTTTCCGTAACAGGAGTGTTTTTACGGAACAGTATTGTTAGTCCTGTGTGCAACCCCCAATCTGGAGGACCAGTGGATCACGCTTCGTCAGGCCTCTACCTTTGGACCTGTCTGGCATAGGAGGCCCTACCAGGTGACGAATCTCCCGCCAGCATAGCTATAGGGGTCACTGAGACACGCAAGCCCACCGACCGCAACAAGGTGACAATCCTTCGGTAGGAAACTGGACCGAAGTGGGCTCGATTTCTGCCGCTCTCTCAGTCCTCCCCGCGAGAAGAGCGTGGCCTCATTTTGTCGAACAGCGGCTGGTAATCGAGTGGACGGATTTGCAAAGAAAGAAGTGGGCTGTGGAGTGGATTTGGAAACACATATTTGTAGCGAAGCACCATGGGTAATAAAATTTGGTTATCTATGCATGCAAGAAATTCCTCCGTCCGTCCGCGCTTTCATGTTAGCGGATGCGAAATGTTATACTTACTAACAGGACCTCATTAGTAATTAGCAAGATCACACTACATCACGCAAGACGCCATGCTCTTAAACAGAAATCGCATTCAGTATGAAATCTCTAATGTACCTGGGTGGTCTTCTCTCTGTTTACTTTCGGATTAAAGGGAGCTTCAGTCAGTAGAACAGCGTGTTCCTCGGGATTAGCCTTCAGCTCATTGGAAAATGTGAAACGCCAGATCTGCGGATAAAACGTTATGAAGTTGTTGTGTGACGTGTAGAGACATTACTCATCAGGGTGAATGTCACACCACACAGTATTATTCATTGATTATGCACTGAATCTTTTAAAAACGTCTCAGACGAGCCAAAACAAGAAATACACATGAAATTGATAAAAGAAGTAAACACTCAAGGTTATTTCAGCTGGCAAAATGGACTTCAACATTATTCAGCCGACGAAATTTGCGACCTCATTCGATGAGAGTTTAAAACAACGCATACGGCACTATGCAACAAAAAAAATAAGAGATGGAGATGATTATTTTTTTATGACAACTTAATTGCATGGCATTGTCGAATTAACTTACCTCTTCCATGCCCTCAAAGTCAGTTATTATCGAGTTTGTGATTGGGTGTGTAAGCTCAAGAGAGTCTCTTCTCGTCTTGGCTTCTTTTCCTATAAATGGAGCTGGTCTATCTAAAATTTCCATCTGTTTTGCGACTGCTGTTTGACCGATCACGGTAGGAAACATTACATCCGGTGCCTCCTCTTTCGCGAATCCAGCTTTCATTGTATCGGAGCCATTGTCTAATACCAAGGCAACCTTCTGGAAAGACATTTTGAACTTAGATTATTCCCACACGCGCTAATCTTACTTGGTGGTTGTCAACTGGGTATGTGGTCTCCAACGCACGCAGCAGTTCTTTGTACTTTGTTGTCACGCAACGCTATTCCTTTACGTGCGCGCGTGCATACCTTATTTCCCATGGTTGTCAACGGGCTATATCGTCTCCAACGCACGCAGCAGTTCTTTGTACTTTGTTGTCACGCAACGCTATTCCCTTACGTGCGCGAGTGCATACCTTATTTCCTCGAATAAGCACCCAAGGGGGGGGGGTGGGTGCTTATTCTGTTTTCATTTAAACAAACTAGAGAATTTATTTATTTAACGCACATAAATTAAAGAAACTAAAGCGCGCACATGGATATATTAAACTGAAGTGACTTAACGAAAAAGCAAATATTTTCCATAGTGATTCCGCCATAGTCGAAGCCAAAAAAAGTTGAAAATAATGTGGCAATAGAAGCTTGTTTTCCCAAACATATTCTATTTAAGAAAGTGAGGGAGAGGGGAGGGGGTTGCTTATTCGAGGGGGTGCCTATTAGATACAATGGCCTTAGGGATGGACGCTTGTTCGAGGAAATACGGTACCCTGATACACAGGGAAAGTGGAATGAAAATTGGGATAAGAGCCACGCTGACTGTTCGGGAAAATGAATAGATCTGTGAATGCCTCTTCTCAAACCCAAACGGAATAGCTTGCAACATGTTTACTGGACAGGCGGCTTTCACTTCGCTTAACAGAAATTCGAAAATGACGACTGCATGGAACGGAAGAATTCTATAATAGAGAGATTTAGAATACCGAGGGTATTGCCTAAACGACTGATTTGATTTGCTTTAATGCTTTCATAAAATACCCCTAAAAACAGTGTTCACTATATTGTATACTTGCTTGATGAAATTTATTTGCACTCTAGATATATAGCAATACGAAGAAGGCCTTCCTTTTTGCCCTAAACAGAAGCGGGTATGTATTTCAGGATTTTTTCACCTAAACAGGGTCAGGGTTTCAAACCCTCAGCAGCTCACCTAACACAAATTTTGGTCAAGTAGCCGAATTCCAGGCTGCTTGCTGTAAAAGAAATGTCTTTCGTCTGTTCCTAATCTCGGTACGGTGTTTTCGTAGTCTTTCGGTCATGCATTTTAGTAACGTAACTATGCAAGAGGAGTGATCCGAAACAAACAATGATAACCACGTCTACGTTTCGGCCAATCAGCGACGTCAAAATCCATCCTGATTCCACGAAATGTTGTCTGAAAGAGTGTCGAGACAGCCAAGAGTGAGTAATATCGCGCACTTTGTTGTTGCTTTGAGCAAGTAGCTTGATCATGGAATACCACAGAGAACTGCCAGATCAAGCCAAAGAAATAAGGTCTTCGGTCCTTCGTTGGATTCAAAGTCGAGAAAATACAGTGCATACTATGCGAGTTTTAGCGGACAAACTCACACACCATCATAACAATGTATGCATCGCACAAGTCGCCGGAAGCTCTGCTTCGCTTGCTGGGTTTGGATTTATGGCAGCGGGATTCGGTTTTTCTTTTCTAACTGGGGGTCTGTCTCTCATACTAGCAGGAGCTGGAGCAGTAGTAAGCGTGGCCGGTGGATTAACCAATGGAGGATCTACAATCGCGGAAAATTGCATCAAAAAGGAAACTTTTGATAATATTCAGAAAATCATTGAAAAGGATCGTGAGGCATTGAAGGCCATAGAGGAACTCTGGGGGACGTTTAAGGACGACATAAACAGAAATGACGTTAAAAATGGCGTCAAGGCGGGTTTTCAATTTGCATCCATGATAAATACTTGCGGACAGACAGGATATAAACTGGGAGTCGCGGTTGGCAAGACAGCTAGCATTACCGGTAGCGAAGCTGTGTTCCGCGGCCTCAGCTCTCTTGGCAAAGTTGTTCACATTGGTGGCTTCGCTGTCAGCGCTGCCCTTTTACCTCTCGACATCTACAACTTAGTCCAAAATGCCAAGAAAGTCGATGCGTCTCGAAACGGCAAGTCAGACCAAGAGCCTAATGAGGTGAAGGTTTTGAAAGACCTGGCCGACAAACTTGCAGAGGAAATACCGGATGAAAACGAGATTGAAGAGATGATAGAGAATTTAATCAAGATGAGAAAGCCCTCAGCCCCAATGGAAGTTATGTGATGAAACGATATGTGAACGCGCTGCAGTCGCAAAGTGAATGAATGTGAAATCCATGGATAAATATAGCGTTATATAAATTCGGCACCAAAAAAGGTGTTGAAAGATTACGGGTTTTTAAAGAACAACGACGGTTTTCTGGGAAACGCATTTAGAATGACCGTAGAAAGAACAATGTATAGCAAAAGAACACTACTGATGAAAATGTTATCCTTCATTACTGATTTACATAGCCGTTACGTCTGTAGTCCTTTTATGATAATTACAGGAAGATGAATGAACACGTTTTGGTTTACGGTTCACAGATTATTTGCCTTGCCCCGATGCATAGTTCAATTTGACCTGTTACCATCCCCTCCCGGCTTGTCTCTCTTGGCGGTCTATTCCCCACCCTCCGGGGGCGCAGAAAGAGACGATTCCCCGCCCCCCGAGCTCCTGACCTCACATGTTGTTTTGGGTACCACTGAAGTACGAGACGTTTTGACTATAACTTCTGTAAAGGTTTTATAGAGTTTATTGAAAGAAGGTTAATCCGTGTATAATATAGTTAAAAAATAAATAAAATTTAAAAAAAGAAAACGAAGAGAAAAACTCTTAAAAGCTTCCTTGAAATCTTGAACGATCAGCGGACAGAAAGGAATAAGAAAGTTTCTCAAGACCTGCTGTTGATTTTAAGCTCTATCAGGAGCCGATTACTTATCGGCTCCTGGCTCCACAGGTTGAAAAAAGGTGTTTCCGTTTCCGTTTTTGTAACGGTTACCTCACGGAAACTTGAATATCCGCAGACGGAATCGTAACTAACCGTTGCGGGAAACACGTGTATCCGTCATGTTTCAGTTTCTGCGGACACGCTTAAACGCATCCCTTATACTCGCGTTTCCGTCAGGTTTACTCTTGCGGAAACGCTAACTACCGCCATGTTTCCGCAGCTCGTAAATTCAGAGGATACTCAATTATCCGTTGAGTTCCCGGAACAATGAATGCGAAAACTCAGTTTGATCGGTTTACTTTCTGCAGCCTTCATGTTTCCTCAGATTCCACTTTCGGTGGATTACTCACTGGATTTCCTAAATGTGTTAACTTTACTTAACCATCCAGTTTCGAATCATATGTTCATTCTATCCGGTATATAAAAAAGTGGACGTTTGTGAGACAACCCTGGACCGTTTCTTGCATCCACAATGAACCATTTTCGCTGATACACACAAATCAAGAAGAGTCATATTTGGGTGCATTTTTGCTATTAAAGTTTTTATTAAAATAATTCTCTCTCCATTTTCATATAATATGTGCATATGTATATTAAATATTTTCACAATAAAAAAGAGACTCCTTACAATGTATTTCTATTTTCTATATCCAAAACTGTAACTTTTCCATTTCAATAGGCCACTTCCGAGTTCCAAAAACCCTCACTTTAAAAATGAGGCTAGGTGCGCAACCTTTCTTGTGAAAATGAGTTTTATTTGCATGAGAATGAAAAGTGATTTAAATATAAAGACCTGAGCACCTACCTTCGTTTTGAAACAGAGGCCCGGGGGAACTCGGAAATGGCCTTTTAAATAATCCTTTTAGAATTGACAAAATTCAAACTTTTTTCCTTGAAATGATTAAATTAACATAATAATTATACAGTCTAACCGCTTCTTATGGATACTTCTATAAGACAGATAGTTTGTTTGGTCCCAGAAATGCCAAAAATCATACATTCCCTACCTCTATAATACGGACACCTCTGTAAAGCGGACACTTGGTTCGGTCCCTTTGGTGTCCGTATTAAAGAGGTTTGACTGTGTAATAATTAAGTAACTAACATTATTATAAGTAACGTGCATTTCCATTCCAAAAATAACTCCAAGAAGTACTTCACAGCAAAACTATTACATAATTTAATACGAACAATATTACAAATAAAAGTCTTACTTAGTTACATGTAAGACTGCATACAATCTCATTAGGAAATCTAAACTGCTGGCTTAATTCTTATACCATATCATACCATAGCAAGTACCAGTACTTGGTGGATCATCCCCAAAAATTATTGTTAAAGTCTATACAAACTGCTGAGAGGCCATCATTGGGGAGTATCAGACTGATGCTACAAAGACGATAGTGATGCAAACAAAACTAGCCATAGGCTTTATATACAAATGTGTAAGCCAACATCTCTACACATGTATCTCACTTTTTGTCCCCACTCTGCTGTAACTGCATGGCTGCAACTTGGACCTGGCTGTGGCATACAAAGTAGTCTACGAGAATTTGCCTACATTTGAGTTTGAATTATAATGACAAACTGTGCACTTTTAACAAGTGACTCACTTTCACAATGCATCTATCTTACATTCCCTGTTTTATAGTTTTAGGATAATCCATTGACTGTCCTGGAATTTCAGCAATTTTAATGAACACAGTCGAGTAAAGATTGTCTTTAAGAAGAATACTCTTATCACCTTTCCAATAAGATTGTACAATTTAGTTAAAGCTGATCATCACAGGGTCATCCTGACTAAAGAAGGCACAATAATACTTTAGGGACTTTAACCAAATTGCTACAGTGACCTCTACTATGATGGTCGTGGATTAGAGTCCTGAAGAGAGTATGTCACTGTTGCCCATCAAATTTCAACTTTATGCAAGTGGCACCCAAAAGTCACTACAGGGCTTCTCGCTCATTTGGTTTAGTTGTTAGTAAAACGCAGGGAAGACTGAATTACTGCCCAGTGAACTAGAAGTGTTAAATACTTTCTTGATTAAGAGTAAAACAATATGATAGGTTTTAAACCAGTGAAAAATAGGGGAAAAGTAGAATTTTATACTCATGTAGAATCGACTATGCCATCACATTTTGTGCTTCGACTAAAGGTCAATTTCTGGACATCATGCACACGGCGTCCTTTTTAGGACTTTATACTCCCAGTTGCCATAGTAGTGATCACTGTAGCCATTTCACTAATTTGGTATTATTGGCATCTTGCCCATGAGGGGCAGTTATTTGGTACTGGTCTGTCTGACAAGTATTTATCAACCTCTCTGGTTATTTTCCCAGCTGCTCTTTCTTTGCCTCTTTGACATGCAAGCTTCACAAAAGGCGTCAAGAACAGCATTGATGTTTCTTAACTTTGACCTCTCTGAGCATAGTGGCCTGATGTACCTGGGTGGTGGATCACTGCCCCCCTCTTCATTGTCTTCACTCTCCTGGATAGCCTTGTGTAGGTCTAATAAAGCCTTTGTTTTGGCTTTGTCATCCGGAGAAAGGTGTGCCTTGTCCAACACGTCTGTGCGATTCGTCAATTTCTGAACACCAAAAAGACATTATTTAGTCACAGTGGCATGACTAATGTGATAAACATTTAATTAACATTTACTTTGTTCTTCAGCAACAGTTTAGTCTGGCAAAATAGTCACCCTGACTATTTTGAATCTTTAGATTTGGTTCTTGCTCTCTACTCTGAGCAATTTACACTACAATGAAACCTTGCATATAAATGGGAAGGACACTGTTAACATTAAAAATGTCAAAGGGGGGTAGGGTGTGGCACTCGTGCATTCTATAACAATCATAAACTATGTATGCATAAGACAAACATGCAAAACATGTGTTGTTTCCTTAAAAAATGAAAGACCCTTGTGCCCTTAACCTGAAAGATCCAGGTACCCAGGATAAATGTGTTTGAACAAACTAAGACTTCCTTGTCACCCAAGAGCAACAGTAATGCAACAGGGGCCATCAGGCACTGCCAAAGCACATCTCTGTTAAAGGACAGGCTAAATAAATCACTAAGTGGATGACTTAAACTACACATTAGAAATATTTGCACTGCAAGCATTAACAAAATAATGTACATGTATTTTACCTACCTTTTTAGCTCTCAAATTGGCATCTTGTCCAAACTCTGTGTTCTTCAGGTTTTCCATTTTGCCACCTTACCACGTCTGGGGGCTACTTCTCTGACTCCAGTACTTAAAAATGGCCCCTAGCAAAAGGAAAGCATGTTAAATGTGCAGGTCTCTAGGAAAGGAATTAAGAGTGCTTCTTGGTGTTGCTAAAAGAATTGTTGGTTTCCTCCTGCTTTTGGTGTGGGTATTATTTAGTGGCTTTTGAATCTTTTGTATTTATGTCATTAGGAGATTGCACTTGTCGGCAACACCAAGAAACTACAGTGGAACCCCGTTAATACGGTCATCAATGGGCCAAAAAATTTTTGCCATATTAATGGGGTGGCGGTATTAATGAGGGTTTTTTTACAAGAAAATGTATGGTGGTTTTTGCCAGGCTGCCAAAAAAGTGGCTGTCATAACGAGGTGACTGTATTACCGAGGTGGCCGTAATGCAGGGTTTCACTGTACCAAATTCAAGAAACTTAGAAGAGTGTACAACTTACCTTTTTTCTCTGTTTTGGGCCATTTCTTTTACCCAAAATTCCCCCTCACTTCATTAACCAAAATACCCTCAATGTTTTAGTTCTCTGCATCATTATACCTCAAAGAAATAAAGACCAAAAGAAAATGTCAAATATTTATATCAAAATACTAATACATGTATATGTATATTATTGTAACAGCCTGGTTCTAAAAAAACTAGAGAGCTTAAAATGAGGCAGTTTTCTGGTAGTGCATTACAAAGACAAATATTTAAAAAATGATGGTTGCTTTTATCATCGAATAAAGCCCTTATCCAAGTGCTTGACGCACAATACAGAATTACAGTGTAACAATATAAAAACACTATATAACCGTCTAGTTGATCTCCTAGTGGCATTTTCAAAAATTGAAAGTATCATTGACACAAGCACCATTTTGTCCACTCAAAGAAGGATAAATAAAATTGCTACTTCCCACTCAAAGATGGGCATCTTACTTGAGTCAATGAAGGTTGCTTTGTCATCGCATAAAGCTGTTACATATATCCTTGTGTTCGAAGCTTAATGACAAATTGAAGTGTAAGGAAATTATATTCCTGAATAATATTCTTGTTTATCTCCTGGTGACTGTTGCAACATTTGAAATATCATTGACACAAGCACTACTTTGTCCACTCAAAGATGGATAAATAGAATTGCAACTTCCCACTCAAAGATGGGCGTCTTACTTGTGTCAATGAAGGTTGCTTTGTCATCAAATAAAGCCGTTACATATTTCCTTGTGTTCAAAGCTTAACGACAAATTGAAGTGTAAGGAAATTATATTCCTGAATAATATTCCTGTTTATCTCCTGGTGACTGTTGCAACATTTGAAATATCATTGACACAAGCACTACTTTGTCCACTCAAAGATGGATAAATAGAATTGCAACTCCCCACTCAAAGATGGGCGTCTTACTTGTGTCAATGAAGGTTGCTTTGTCATCAAATAAAGCCGTTACATATTTCCTTGTGTTCGAAGCTTAACGACAAATTGAAGTGTAAGGAAATTATATTCCGGAATAATATTCTTGTTTATCTCCTGGTGACTGTTGCAACATTTGAAATATCATTGACACAAGCACTACTTTGTCCACTCAAAGATGGATAAATAGAATTGCAACTTCCCACTCAAAGATGGGCGTCTTACTTGTGTCAATGAAGGTTGCTTTGTCATCAAATATAGCCGTTACATATTTCCTTGTGTTCGAAGCTTAACGACCAATTGAAGTGTAAGGAAATTATATTCCTGAATAATATTCCTGTTTATCTCCTGGTGACTGTTGCAACATTTGAAATATCATTGACACAAGCACTACTTTGTCCACTCAAAGATGGATAAATAGTATTGCAACTCCCCACTCAAAGATGGGCGTCTTACTTGTGTCAATGAAGGTTGCTTTGTCATCAAATATAGCCGTTACATATTTCCTTGTGTTCAAAGCTTAACGACAAATTGAAGTGTAAGGAAATTATATTCCTGAATAATATTCTTGTTTATCTCCTGGTGACTGTTGCAACATTTGAAATATCATTGACACAAGCACTACTTTGTCCACTCAAAGATGGATAAATAGAATTGCAACTTCCCACTCAAAGATGGGCGTCTTACTTGTGCCAATGAAGGTTGCTTTGTCATCAAATAATGCCTTTACATATTTCCTTGTGTTCGCAGCTTAACGACAAATTTAAGTGTAAGGAAATTATATTCCTGAATAATATTCTTGTTTATCTCCTGGTGACTGTTGCAAAAGTCATCAAATAAAGCTGTTATTCTTGTGTTCAAAGGTTAATGACAAATTAGAGTGTAAGGAAATGATATCCCTCTATAATCTTGTGACTTTTAGAACCTTTCTGCACCATCATATTAAACTTGTCATTGCAAACATACTCAAAGAGAAAAGGTTCCTCTTAACCCTACAAGTCTCGTAACAAGCGCTACATTTATTTCAATTTTGAACAATTCCTATTGGTCCCTGCAAATTGTATATGTCGTTTTAAATCTAGTAAGGAAATGCACATTGTATGCAAAAAATTAATATGAACATTAAATATTATTTTCGTACAGGTTTATCCTTGTTATAAACATCTACATTCTCAGAAATTGAAGTGGAAATGTTTTGTACATTTCAGTGTCAAGGAATTTTTATAAAATATTTTTCTGTCATTGAATTTGATATTTGATTCCGTACTCCGTTCCGGGATTCCGTTTCCTCATTCGAGATTCATATTTTACGGCTGCCATCTTCGCCATTAAAATGTGCATTAGTATACAGAAAAATTCTTTTTCGGTGAAGCAGCAACTATGTCTTTATTGCAAAAGAAATCAGACAAACACGTGCTTTACGGGTAGATGTTATCAAAGAAACTACAGGCAACATACAAAGGTCAGATCTGTAGGGAGCAACTCGCTGTCGCATGAAACATGTAAGCTTATGTAAGCTCACATGCGAAACGATTTTTATGATCGACACCCAAAGCTATTACATAGACTTAAATATGCTTCTATATATTTAAACAAGATTCAGAATGTACTTACGAAACAACAAGGATCCACGGTTTAAAATAGGCGTTCTTTCTTCTCAATGATTGTGGAAACACTCAGTGTGCATTCGAGTCGCCAAGAGGTCCAAGAGTGAACACTGAACTCCTTCGTCACCGCTTCCATGGGATTTGGCGTTTCATTTAAATAGTTTTCGAACTATTATTCCTCCCTGCAGTCTATCTCCGCAATCTATCACACTCTCCTCGCTCATCTTCACAAAAAAAAACGGCCCTGCATATACAAACCACCAAAATGGAAGGCGAACCGACAGCGAAGAATGTTCAAAAGGGCGCGCGATTCAAAATTCAACGTGAAAGCGAGGCACGCATGCTCATAAGACTCACACCTCCAGAGCGAGGCAAAATGCGTGCAAGCGTGTTAAAAAATCATTTATAATTTATTTTGCTGTTTCTAAATTGTTTCAAATTACGCTTCAATGTTTGGAGCGTTAATAATTTTAATAACACATCTTTCAATCTCTTAGAAAAGAAAGACAGAGGAAATCATCTATCTCTTTTCCAGTATTTAGGACGTGTAGTTTAGCGCAGGCGATTATCTCTGTTCTTTCGGACATTTTAGGTCAACGTAATGATTCCTCATCTTGCCTGAAGCGTAATCAGTACAGTTAAAACAAATTTTATTATACGAGAAACCAGGGATTGATCATGAAAACCAGCAAATTTCAGTACAAAACCGCTTGCGGAAACGCAATGGAAACGCGCTGACACGTTTAAGTCAACGGAAGCGCTGCGGAAACACGAAACAATGCCTCCATTTTCAGCTTACACGTTTCCCGTCGTATCCGTCCTGCGGAAACGTGACGGAATTTTGAACCATCAGGTTTCCGCAACATTTCCGAATTGCGGAAACACCTTATTTCACCCTGTGCTCTATATAATCTCTAGAACCCTGAATCTTTCTTTCTTTATTACTATTACGATTACTCTGATGTGTTCACTCCCAGGGGGTACTTAGGTTAATTCTTTTGCCAATTATATACCCCACTTCAGCACTTTTGGGCAAATATGTAATTTTGCGATCCCAACTTACTCACTTTCTTTTTTTATGAACTGACCCATTTTTAAGATTGAATGAAGAACACGTTACTTTTAATCTACAGTACAAACATTCTGACCATTTGCCAACCGTAAATATGAAGAACTGTCTTACCCCAAAAAATCCGAAAATGTACGACCCCATTCTAGTGACTCTATTGAAAATCCGACCCCATTATAGTCAATCCAGTTGCAAAAATGCGACCCCGTCCAGCGGCACATCCTTATTAGCCTCTTATAAGGAAGTAAATTAGCTAATTGTTTTATTAACGTTTTTCTTGACAAGATTGACACGATTCACCGTGGCCTTGTTGGACGATGTCCCCAAGACTCACTCGTCTATGAGGATACACCAGTGCGCTCCTGCAGTCTTGATTTTTTTGCTGATGCGCCTGTTGATGACCTGTTTTCCATAGCTCGGCCGATGGCAAAGGAGGTTTCTACTTGATGGGAAGGATCCGCCTGAGAAGGTGGGGTGTAGAAAGGAGAGTTACTTTCTGGAGTTCATGTATGCTGATGTTGCCAGGGATTTTGTTGGAGCACTTGTCCATGTCCTTCTTGATGGTGCCAAGGGCTCCAATAACCACTGGGACTGTATTATTATTATTATTATTATTATTATTATTATTATTATTATTATTATTATTATTATTATTATTATTATTATTATTATTATTATTATTATTATTATTATTATTATTATTATTATTATTAGGACCTCTATGTAAACCACTCTTGTGATGGAGCATCCTATTAAAAGATTGTTATTATTATTATTATTATTAATAGCCTTGTATCCATTGTATAGATGAATAACCCGAAGAAATTTTCCTTTGTTTGCGAAGAAAGCCATTAATTCGAATACGCATTATAAACCTTTTGTTTGAATAACTTCAAATACAAATTTTAATTTT